TCCACAAATTCACCTTTGAACCCTGGTCTCCTATACTCTATGTCGTTACTCTGTATGTTGAAATGATCCCTGCCCAAAGCGTAAACCACGTTCTGCCGTTGTTTGGAAATAACAGACGCTGGAATCAGTTTTGACAGATAGAGGTCATCATAGGGTATGCATTACGCGTGTTGTTAGCAAAAAATAACATTTTTTGAATCTATGCATGAAACTGAGGGTCATTCAGTGCCGTTCATAAATGCAGAGCTGCTGTAAGGAACCCAAGTGGTTTACATGTTCTCATCATTTAATATATAATGGGTATTCTAACTTATCATGTACTCTGTAATGCTAAATGTAACCTTCTTCCTTGACTCATAACTATGAGATTAAATACTCAAATGCATGGTATGGTTTATGAAAGGTTTTATTTTTCTGTAATGTAGCCAAGTTGGTGCTTTGTAAACCCTGACTCCAGCATGCTTTCTGCTTTTCTCATGAGCTATAATTTAGATCATCAATTTGTGTTAGGTCTGTGACCCAGAGCTTGGCTGTGAAGACTTTTCTAGGAATCTGGGGGTTTTCCTGGTTTTCAAATGAAGTAAATTTCAGCTATTTATTGGTGGAATAACTGGGTCAGTTTGCTTTTTGATTTCAAGGTTGGAAACTGCCAGGCTGGTTTTGCATCTTTAAATGAGGAAGTTTCCTGACAAAAGCTTTCAGCCATGTGGAAAACTGAGCTCATGGAAGCCAATGGGATTTTTGCCATTAATTATAATAATGCATGGCTGAAATACTGACCTTGTCCTTTGTGTTAGAATTTTATCTGCTTTTGAACATATCTGGCACAAAAATGTTATTCATGAATATGTTTCCAGAAGTTTTCTGCAGTTGTCAGATACTCTCAGTACTGCAGCTATGTACATCGTGTCTCTAATGCTTATTGTATTTTAGTCATTAATGCATAATGCTTCTGTACTGTTTCTATCACAAATAATCCATAATTACACTTAAACATTTCAGGTTTCTGTAACGTACTGCTTTTTCTTGTCTGCATTATTATATTACAGCAAGTACTCAGGATTCTTAATGAGTATATTTGTGATGAATCCATGTGCCAATTAAGAATGAAATTTCAAGATAGACAAGGAAAATATTCTAGATCTTGTCTGTCTGAACTTCAGTAAAGCAGTTGGTGTACTGCCTCAGAGGAATTGATCAGTTATGAGAGGAGGCTAAAAGAACTTGGCTCGTTTAGCCTAGCAAAATGAAGGTTAAAAGGGGTATGATTGCTCTCTATAACTACGTTATGAAAATAAATGCAGACAAGGAAAAGAACTATTCAGACTGCTGCCTCTAGGTGAATGTAAGTTGTCCATGACCTAATTTACACTGGAAAGCAGAAGATTCTAAATGCTCAGAGAATAAAGTTCTAAAATGGAACAGTAGGAACAAACAAATTAGTTTTAGGATAAGCTTGCTAAACAGCTGAAAGATTGTATGAGCTGTTTCCTGTGATAACGATGGATGGGACTTGATCCGTCGCACCCCAGTGTACTTTGTGTAGGTTAGGAGGTGAAGGACTGACCAGATTCCGTCCAATTAAATGTACACCATCTCAGTGTTAATCTGCTAAACTGTTTCTGAGCTACTACTATCAAATCTGTAATTATGTGGTGAAAAGAAAGTTGAATATTCTGTTTGGAGCTTTTTGACTCTTAACCTCAGTTTATTAACTTTTTTGTACCCTGTTTATTTCTTCCATGCTTAATGGTGATATAAGGGAAGTTCTGTGATTTATCCATGGAAAAATAGCTATTCCAGAATAGTATGTGCTTGTTTCTGATTGATTCAAAGATTTCGTTTAGTCTTTTGTTCCTGGAAAAAAGATTTTTTAAAAATGTTTAAAATCATGTAACAGGGACAGGTCCTGTTGATAATATTTTCATACAACGAGGAAAACACATTAGTTGCACATTCACTGTTTTTATATCTGTGATCAGTACAGGCTGTCTACACATGTCTGGTATTGCTGATATTGGAATGAACATATTCTCTGTGACTCAGATACTCCTGTTGTTGGAGAGTGAATTTACCTTCAGTTGTTGTACTTCGAGGTACAAATTACTTTTCAGAATCTGAGTCAAATCTAACGTGTGCTTGAATAATAGCACCAGAAAATAATTTCCCTTATTTATACATGCATCTTTGATCAAGGGCCTTGGAGCTAGCATACAGTATCATTACTGAAGTGGGTGAACGAAAGTAATAGAGTAATTAATGAAATCACAATGTTGTTCTGTATTATTGCAATGCATCCTTTTTATTCCAGATGCTGGTTTATGTAGGTCTGGTGATAGTGCGTATACATTGTGCTAGGCAGTGTGTATTCATAGCAACAACGCTGAGCACAAAGAACTCCCAAGTAGACCAAAGACAACAATTGGATAAAAGTCGGTAGTAAAATTACAGTAGAAGAATAAGATTTGTTGGTCACCACAGTAGAGAGCGGCTGTAGCACGTCAGTGCTGTAGTTGTCACAGTTTCTGTAGGCATTATGGCAAAGAAGTTTGAAGAAGGGATCTGAAGCAAGATAATGAACGTTAAGACTAAGACCCTAACCTGAAAGCCTATTTAAATGAATAGGATTATTTCTAGTTATGTCAAGAGGTGTTAGATCAAATTTTCCAAAATTGTATCTGCCAAGGGAATTTTATAATCAAAATTGCTGTGGGATTTTACAGAATTAAGCATATTGAATTATACACAAGTACTCTAGGCATGATATGTTTTAACATTATTACTTCTGTGTTACCTTTTGAATAATTCTGCTTGTTGACACAGCATGATTTTTTCCCCATGTTCTCTTGGCCTGGTTTTCAGAGATGCCAATAACTGCCAGTGAAATAGAAATAAAAAGTCATTTTACATGTGTTTATGGTTAAAAATTTCAGAAGTATAGTACCTTTAGAAAAACTCAGGATTTGCGCTGAAAAGTGCATGAGACTATTTATTGATTATCTTCTGATGAGATCAATACAAAGGTGTTGTTTTAAGTATATTGTATCTGACACTAAAAATGTGGTAAACTAAATCACCTGATAGGTTTTCATAATTCTTTGTGCATTTGTTTTGACTTCCCAGTATGTCTCGAAGATGAGTGCATGCTTACGGTTTGTTCATCACATATGCAGAGTTATCATTTATATTGTGATGAGGAAGTTCCCTTGCATTAGGACAAAGTTGTCAGCTTTGAGTAGATACTTGTATGCAGCAGTGCTTCTATTTGCCACGCAATAGATGCAACGTTTGTTGATGCTGAATCAGTATTTGAAAGCATGACAGCCTTCAGTTGAGAAATAAAGTGAAGTCTAGTATTTACCTAGGTGGAATAATGGCTTACTAATAATTAGGTGCTCATTTTAAGTATGCCAGATAACTTGAAGAAATAGTAAAAGTCATGGTGTCATTTGGGTTGAGTAACGTAAGAGCTGTTATTACTTTGCTTAACGTTTCATCAGCACTTTGGATTAGTATTTATTCCTAAATACAAAGAGTAGTAATTATTGAAGGTGATCTCTTTCATGTTTCATACAGTTTAGAGGAGATCATGAATATTTGTATTTCTTGCCACCTAAATTACAGTAGTGATCTTGCAACAGAAATAGGTCTTTTGTAGGCCTGCTGATCCTTTGTTGTTAGAATTACGTTAATCATGACTCTCCAGCAAGAAACTGGTTAAATATGGCAGCCCAGCTACCTTCACTTTGCATGCTTTCACTTTTATTTGTGTTTGTTAATATACATTCTTACAAAATCTTATTTAACCAAAAACTTTCCAGTCAAGATTATAAATGGATATGCCCACTTAATTGTAGCAATTTTTAACATCTCGTGTGCAGTTAAAACCAGGGAAATTATTATATGACGTTTTACTTAAAGATAGAGGGAGAGTAATTAAAAATAGATCTGTTCTGTTAAAATGATGCCCTCCTTGGCAGTATAAAGAGTGGAAAAAATGCTTTTCTAAAAGCTTTTAAGTCTTTACTGTGTTTGTTATGGAGTGGGTGGTACTTCACTTGATTTCAAGTACTCTTGTAATATCACAGCACGCTCTTTTAGTGCAATATGCTAGCTGCCCGTAATGCTTTAAGTGCTTTTTAAAAAATGCCATTATATTTATAAGAACATGGAGTTACAGTACCCACAGTTTTCTCTTCCGGCTGAAATCGCGTCCCCGGCTCCCCATTTGACACATGCTTGTGGAGGGTTCTTGAGCTGTAGTTATAAACAGTGATTTAGTTCTTTGTACAGGCAGAGAGACTAATCTTTGGGGAAAATATTTTGTGTCTCAAGAAGTGGATTGCTCCCTTTAAAAAAAAAAAAAAAATCAGAGATCAGCTGTCTAGATGCAGCCAGTATTGATGTGGAAGGACTAGTGTGCAGCTAGAGTTCTTGTCTTGAAAATGAAACCTTAAATTAATCCAGACTTTGCTACGTGTATCCAAAAATATTGTCAAAACCTGAAAATCTAACAAAAAAAAAAGAAAGTCTTATGAGAAGCCTAGAAAGATTGTCATCCGTACTCTTTTGGACATGTTCGCATCAGCAGTAGGCTTTTTGGTAATACTGATCTAAAGCTGATGAGATTATCTGTATTGGTGTCTTTAATACTAGTTCATCACAATTTTTGCCTTGAACTACAAAGATGGCCTTAATATTTGAACCTTATGCAGAGCCAGGGGTGCACGTGTAGAGGAAAGAGCTTCTATAGACATGAAATCAACTTTACCCCAAGAAGAAGGGAGGACAAAGATGTTTTTTCAAAGTAGTTCTTTTCTATTGGGTTGTACGTGGTATAGTACTAAGGTGCCTTAGTGCCTGTAGTCAGGTACATATTAAAGACGTAGTGTCTCTTTGTTGATTGATTGCTTTTGTGGTCTTCAGATTTTATAAATTGTCATTAACTAAAAATAGATGCTGACTTACGTTTTGTTTGTTTCTTTTGTTTGTTTGTTCAGGTTTACCAAAAATGCAAGTGATCCGAAACTACAACGGAATACCACAGCCAGCAACACAAGATGGTCCACCATTGCATATCCAGATTGGGGACACTATTGAACTCATTAGAGGAGATGCACATAGCTTATTTTGGCAGGTACTGTATCATTTAGCAAATGGCTATATTCCATTAGCTCCAGATACTAAATTCTTATTTATATATTGGTCTTGGAATTTTTTTCCTTTTTGAACAACAAAATAATATCTTTGTGTTTTACCCAAAATAAATGTCTAAAACTTCTTCTTTTTACTTTTCAAGTGCGAGTAGTTCCTATATTGTGTAAAGCTTTATTCTTGCAACCTTAGAGTAAAAGTCCCAGTGAATAAATCTGCAAGAACATGGCATTGGTAGCAATCCTTCCAGTGAAATTATAGGAGTGAAGGAGAGCGTTTGGCACATAAACAGCAAAGTCCTGTGAATTTTCAGCCACTGTTCCTCTTTACATAGCCGAACTAAAAGCTATATTGGCAAAACCCAGTTACGAATATTAGATTTATAGGGGAGAGAAATAGCTCTGCAAAACAGAACCACACCTAAACTTCTTGATGACCTCTCAAGTCAGTTAAGGACAGGTTTTTTTATGTACATGGGAAAAGTATATTCTATGGATGGCAAAACTCACGTGATTGACATCACTACTACTGTTACTGAAATTTCTTTTTAATTGAGACCTATAAACAGATTCAAAATGCTGTCTTGCATTCACTTTAAAGATAAATGCATTAAAGCATGTCTCATTTTTCTTGATTCTTAATTGTTCGTACTAGAATCCTATGTACTACTGATATTATTGGATAAATGGAAATAGAGGTAAATAGAAGAACTTTCAGGATATTAATAGAACAACAACTGGGAAGCATCTGTTGTTGTCTTGAATTGTCGTTCCCGTGTTTGTCTTTGTGATTTTCTTTTTTCTTTGAGGCTATAAGAAGTTAATCAATATAATTATAAAAACTGCTTGGTCTGTTACATGAGTTAGGTCATATGTGGGGTTGTTTGTTTTTTTTGCTGGCTTCAGTTAGGATTGAATCTTCTCCAAACTCTCCAGGACTGAATCAGTGAACTCTGTTCCTATGTCACTGCATCATCCTGAACAACATTTAACTGGGGGAAGTCATAAACAATAGCATTGCTTTATCTATTTAAAAATATGTAAATAACTGTAACACCCCCAAACCAAACAAACGCACACACCCCACACACCAAACCTGTTGTTAGCAGACCATAGATATTTCACATCACTAAAACCAAATTTTTTCAAACGTTGGCAGATTTTGGCCTATATAGTTTTATATGTAGGGCTTGGTTCTGCAAGGTCTTGAGTTCTGATCCAGAGAAGCATTTAAGCACTCTCTTGATTTGGGACTGGCTAGAAGGTAATCATCGGACTAATACACACTTAGTACAAACCAGAATTATTGGCACCTTGTGGGACTGATTCTATTGCTGTGTTCATACACATCCATCAACTCAGTCTACTGGAATTTGTCTTAGATGTTATTTGTACCTACCACACTAAAGAATTTAGCTAGAATCTCGCTGTGTTTAACTAGCAGAAACTGGAAAGTGCGTGAGGCTTTTTCGCCAGAAGCCTTAGTAATAGATTTGAATCTTAATGGAAGTTGTCATCTCCATTAGCATCATTCAGGAAATTTTTTTTTTTCCTCACAAGCTGTTTTGTCACAGACTGCTTAATGCAGATTTCCATAAGTCTTGTAATGACATCTGCATTTTAAAATGCATATTAAGAAAAAAACTTGCAAAACACAACTTGTATTAAAATCTGTAAGCTTTATTTGAGAGGTGTTTTAGAGTAATTTACAGCTGACCTGCAAGACTTAATATCAGAATGGATTTTTAAGTCAACCGTTGCTCAGTTTAGAAATTCAAGTGCTTGTAATAGATAAGCATGTGTGGTTTAAGTATAATTTTTTCATTCTTTACAGTATATGAAATAAACACCACAAGTTACTAAGCAATGCTTAAAGCTATAGCTTAAATACGATCAAATGTGTTTTGATAGACACAAAAATTCTACTAAGTTAATGTTTGAATGATCATATAGTGATTATTATGGTAAGTTCTGTAGTAGTTCAAGACCATATACACATACGAATCTACCTGTTCGCAGTCTGGAAAACAGAAGTATGGGGTTTTTTCTTTATGAAACAGCAAATACTTTTCTGAGAGGCAAACTGAGCAATCACAGAGACAATAAGACGGCTGGGATAAGCATTTCTGAATTCCATGAATTTGCCTTCTGCCTCTTCACTGGTGTCGTCCAAAACCTAAGCTTTCTTCAAAGAGAATGGGTAATATAAGGGGGGTTGATACTGTCGCAAGTTATTTTACTCTCCTCAGTAAACACGTGGCTGCATATAGAGAGAAGGGTGGTCTTACGCTGATACTCACGCATCCCCTTGTGCACAACTACTTCTCCTTGCTCAGTCAAGGTGAAAGACTAGAAGAGCCATGCTGCTTGCCTAGCTGGTGCTCGGCTGGCATCACTTGCAGAATGAAATAAGAAAAGGGAGAGGGGCTGGGGCGGGGAGAGAGGAGAAAACTTAGCGTTTTAAATGGAAATTTCAGACCCCTTAACCAGAGCACTGCTGGTTGTTTCAGCTGTAGTAGTGCAGCTTTGAAGTAGTCAGATTTTTATTATAGATGTGAATATTTCTCTCCTCGTCTCAGTTTGGTTTGAGTAAATTGGTACCTGCTTAACCTGAGGGTAGGCTTTCAGGGGTGCCGCAATGCCTACCATAAGATATAATGTAATTCTAGTTTTACAGGTTTGCATTGCAATTACCTGCCATCCTCAGGCAATCGTGTTTCGCAACTATGCCGAAAGAATACAGATATTTGCTGGACTGATTCTTTCCTTTTTCAAAACCAGCTTTTCTTTGATGCCGATTAAACCCATATCAGGTAATAGCTATTACAGATGTACTTTCTAATGCTTCAGTAGTTAGCGGTCCTGCTGTAAACAGCCAAAAGGCATTAAGTATATTGTAAATATACTTACGATAGAAAATTAAAGCACTGGGGAGGCAGCACTGTAAAAGTGCCTTTTTTTTCCTTTTGGTTTGTAATTTGATTTGTAATTTTTCATCTGTCGCCTTCCTCTCTTCAGAACACTTTGCAGTAAACAAAATTAAAGTGGGTGAAGGACATGATAATTTATAAATTTTAGCTATCCGGGAGTTCTAGTTCTGTGCACGTCCAATGAAGTTAATGGGCATTGCATAGCTAAGTAGCAGGCAGCGGTCTGGAAATTTAGAGCAAATGTGTCAAATGGCTTCAGAAAGTCTCCCTCATTAAAACAGGTACAAGAGTCGTGAAACAGCCTCTAGTCTTGCTGAGACTGTCGTTAAAAGCAATAGACTGAAGGGCTTCATTGGCCCTTATGAATATGTATGCACACGTACACACATATACATGTAATATATATTTTAATATATAATAATTTAGAAATACAATGTAATAGTATATACATAATATAAATCTTAAAACTAGTTCTGTCCAGTCCTCTGCTTCTGCTTTTATAATGACCATAAGCCATTACAGGGCAGCGTTCAAGGGAAATGCTTACTCATCAGACAATAAGCAATTAGCAAGCAGGAAACAAAGTAGAAAGAAATTATTAGTAGAAGTGAAGTATGGTGGCATAATAATTTTGTTGCTGTTAATGATTTGATGGATAGATCTTAGATTTTGAAATCATCATCTGACAACAGGTCATGGTTTTGTGTATGAATGACACCGAGCCTTGACGAATTGAGCTAGGATTTCTAAAGTAAACCAAATAACCTAGTCTCCTAAGGACATTATCAGATTATTCATAGGAGCTTATTATCGGCAGAGCATTTTAAAAGTGAGCTGTTTCCTTCAGCAATGTGTAATAGATCAAACCCTGTTCTGTTTAAGGATTTGCTTGTATTTAACTAACAAAGCCATCTGCAGTTATCTCATGTGAAGCTTGTCTTCAGAAGACAAAGCCTTTCTTGGGTTGTCTCGGTGCTTGTTACATTCATGGTATTGCTCAGAATGCAAAGGCAAAGTTGTGTACTGGTCACAGTACTTGGGGATATTTGTGTGATGAGAGAGTCTATCCATGGGACTTCTCTACTGCTGCTTTCACTTTGGTCTTGGTGTACTGTCCATAGAACGCATGCTTCACTTCTAGCCTCTCCTAGCCCGACGGAGCGACACATCTGTGTCCCACAGCTGCACAGAACAGCATCTTCCAACAAGTGGTGACATCTGAGGACATTGTAGGATTGTTGCTTGGGCGGAGAGTATTTCTTAATGCTGTACCTCTCATAGAAGTCTGTCCACTGATGTAGTTTCTCACCACTTCATTTCTGTGATTCTATGATTTCAATGAATGTTCAGTGTCCTCCAGATGATCCATTTTTTGCTGCAAGTGCCGTTGACTTGTTATCTACAGAATACTTTAAGTGAAAGTGCACATATATGTTACAATACAGCCTATGGATTGCAGTTCAGTTTCCTTATTCTGAATGTGTATACATTATGTCTGCCTGCATTGCGATAATGATTTAATCAGTACAGACCACAGCTAATCTCATGATCTTTGCTGCTCTGCCGGGTTTTTAAGCTGTGATACGTATCACTGTGTACTGCTAGCAGTATCTAAGCCAGGTAATACAGCGCTGGCTCTACGTCATACTGTCCCATGGTCTGGTCTTTCTGCACATGCTACAGTTTCTTCAGTGGCTGTAATGTGTCTTCATTTTTTTATTTTTACTTGAGGTCATAGAACATCTCAGGGTGGTATAATTCGGTGCAGATTGAGGCATTTAAATGTCTGCAAATCAAAGCTAGCTTTTATTCTAGCTTTCGGGGTGTGCAAATACATTTCTGGAAAAACAGTAAGAGATCCAGACTGTATTTCTGACTTGCAGGGAGGAAGCACTGCAAACATTATGAAACGCTATTGGACATTTGAAATGGTGTCCCTTTTGGCACTTTCAGAAGGTAACACAGGGATCTGTCCCTGAGCTCATCAGATTTTGATCCTTGGCTGCTTTCTAGTTGTGGACATATGTTGCATGATGTGTCATCTTGTTCAGCTTCTTTCACTTTATATACATGTTTCTTATGAATAGCAATGGTATGTGGGCACATCCAAAACTACTGTTCAGTTGTGCTCCTTCAAATGCTTTTTCTCATTAATATATTTTATTTAGTGGCTGGTCTTATTGACTGTGATATCACTTGCTATTCAGGTAAGAGTAGTATTGTAATTAAGTATCACTTACATGAGAGACTGTGTCAGAGCTCTGCTTACAAGTTAAGTCTGTACTTCAGAGGGATTCATGTTTTGGGAGTAAATAGAATATGTGGATGCAAAAGGTAACCTGTATTCAAGCAGATACTGGGAGAAGAGGGCAAGGGAGCTTTGCTAACACAGCTTCAGATCTCTATAACATTGTCACTTGCTTGCGCATAATTCTTTTTTAAATATCATCGCTATTCAGGGCATTATAGCTTAAATACTGCTTAACTGCTTTTCTCTCGCCTCTGCACTTCTCTGTATATTTGGTAAAGATGGCCGTTACTGGGGTCACTGTCTGTGTGTGATAAATTGCATAACGATCTCTGAAATCGCTGAATTCTGTTTTGTGTGGTGGTGTTAGGGTACTGTAACACTAGATGTGTAATTGAAACAAAATGAACTAAACCCCCAAAGAAATTCCATGTCTGTTTCTGAAGCATTTTTTCCCCTTTTAATTTTTTATGTTGCAGGTATGCCATCAAAAATAAAGAATAAATGAAATTTTCAAGATTACAGTGCTTGTAAAGTACTCATTCTTAACCTCATTGCTAAATGCTGATAGTATATTATGTTTACAGTCAGTATCTTAAATTTCATGGAGGTTAGGCATTTATGTGCTTTTCAGAAAACTGTTAAATGAAAACATTTGTTTGCCAAAATATGCATTTTGATGCCTTCATTTTATGTATCTGTGTTTAGAAATTTTAGCTATGTGCTCTGTTCTGCTCTGAAAAATGTGGTCAGGATGGTCACAGCCAAATGTTTTTACTAGGACTAGAAAGGTGTTTTTATTCTGCTGTTCTATCTGGCTGAGGGGGCGTTCTTCAGGGGAGCTTGGTGGTGAATTGTGAACTGCTGAGACATGGCTCTGTGATGATCAAGTCACTTTTGGCCCTTAGAAGCCCAGAGTAAATTGGTGGTCCTGCAACTTTGGGGCAGCAGTTGTGTTGCATAAAAGGCTCGGTTTAGGCTGTGCTGGATGCATTTCTGCAGCTGGTCTCCCAGTTGTGTGGGCGCATCTACAACATGTTGTGAATATATCATAGACAGAGAGTTAATCTTTAATCCTGTTAATATTCTCGTACCCACCTGGTTTCCAATGATTTGCGTCACTTATGGCAATGCTTAGCTATAGAACTTTGTATCTGAATTGGCTGATGGATTATTAGCCCTAAGGTCCCACTGGAGTTAGCGTGATTTCTCAGGTGCTGCAACTGCCGCTGCATGGTGGTGTAGTCATTTTGGGGATCTGTCATGTTGCAGTGTGGCAGCTCTCACCAGCGTGATGCCAACTGAGGAGGAAGTAACTTGAAAGGAGATAATTAACGTTAATGAAGATACCAGACACTGGCAGACATTGACAGAACTGGGAATCACAACCCAGGCTCCGAGCTGCATTCTTGCATCTCATCTCTCAGAGCTCTCAGGTGTATCAGCTATAATTATTAATTATATAAATTAAAAAAAAACCCCAAACCAACAAAACCCACACAACTGTTGAGTGACACTTTATTAGAACAGCATTTTATTTTAAAGACTCTTTGATGTACTCTTATTGCCCTAAATCCCTGTGCATGTGTTGTTATTAATGATTAATTGCCATTATGTCTCAAAAATGGAAAATTCTGGGTTTTTTTTCTAGGGCAGAAATCTAACAACAGGAGAGCTTGGATTCTTCCCAAGTGATGCAGTAAAGCCTAGCCCATGTGTAAGTACAATTGTTTAATTCTGTTTGTCATCTTACAGAAAAACTGCCTAGTTCATACCATCGCTTTATTAATCTTACCTTACAAAAATCATATTGTTTCTCGTTCCTTTGTGTTTTCACGGTATGTTCAATATTGCATAAAATATAGCATTCTAATACTTTTGGTTATCTGATGTAAATAGGAAATGTCAAGAAAACATGTTTGAGAAGCAGATTTAGCTTTTGGGAATATTAATACATTGAACTGTCCAAAGAGTTTCCAGATTATAGAACAAACACATTTTATGTGAAAGCGCACTTTCTTCCTTCCCCAGCGGTAAGGTGGGAATGCTGTGGTTCTAATCTATTCCCCAGTCACTTTGGGTTAGAGAGAGGGATTACACCATAAGTAGTGAGTTTAAAAATGTGTGAGAGTAAAACTAATATAAAACTTTGAATTCAGACTGCTCGATAACTTTTCTCTTCGCTGTAGGTTCTTACCTGCCTTTATTTCGCACAAGGATGTTCTCAATCTAGAAAAGTTCAGGATAACAATAAGAAAAATTAGTTTATAATATGTACTCATGAGTTTTGTATACAGACGTGATGATGCATTGATATACTGTACGCTTGTTCCTTTATTCTCTGTCCTCTGTAACACTGTGCATCAGATTACTATATGTTCCATTGATGTAAACCCATAAAACCAGTGGGGAATCATATTCCTTACTTTGCTTTAAGACAGCTTTAACTTCTTTTAACTCGATTCACAACAGTTTGACTTATTAATAGACTTGCTGTCATTACAGCAATCAAGATCTGCCACTTAAATGGTTTGTAAGTAGGTGGAATCAGCTGTTAGTGGCTGCATTTTGATATGCTTTTAAGGCTTATGTTGTGCCTTAGTTTCTAAAGCAAATACACATGTGATCCTAAAGAATATAAATACATTCGTGTATCTTGAGACATCTTTAGTGCCCTATATTTTCAGAATTTTGATGCACAGAATATTTGTCGGTACAAGGTATGTTAGATTGGGTGAGAGAACAGATCTGGAATAAAGGTGAAAATGTTACGTGAACTTAGCTTTCTTCCCTCCACCCCTTGCTTATGGCAGAAGCTGTGGATTTCCCGTGCCGTGGTGTCACTCTCCTGGACACAGGCAGTACCTGCTGTGTGTTGGCGTTAGGGTCTTGGAGCCACCCAGTCAGTCGTCATATGGTATCATTGGCAGCAACTGCAGCAACACTTTAGGGACCACCACTACACTTTAAAGCGGAGGAAGCAGGATATCCAAAGTTAGGAAAAACACTGCTGGGGTGTGGTGAAGATTGCTTTCTAGTGATAAAGCTTTCTGCTAAATTCGGAAATAGACTATTTAGAGAAGTATTGAAAATAATACAGTTTTGCAGAATGAATAAATATTATTCATGAAATGTTACCAACCGGTGTCATGATCAGAACAAAACGATAAATAGATGCTTTACCACTGTTAACTTGGAAGGATAAAGTATAAACATCTTATTATGATAAATGATGCAGTTAAAGATACTGAAACATCAATCAGGTTTTAAACATGCTATAACTTTTACTGTTATTATTAAGTCTAACAGCCTTTACAACCAGGTGATATAAAAATGCCCAGAAACAGCATAAAATACATACATCAAAAGACTTTAGGAATGAATATTGAATGAAAAACTGCTGAGCTCCAGAATATCTATATTCCAGACTTTTCACAGATGTACCTATAAACAATTTTTTCCTCTTTGCAGTAAGTAGTATATGTCAGCAGACATTTTCTGCACCATATGAGTAATATCTGGTTCTTCCTAGCTTTCTTCCAGTTTTCTCATTTCTATAGAGGCATTGGATACTTAGCACAGTATGAGCCAAGAGCTTCTGGAATAACATTTGATTTCACTGTATTTCATGACAATGAACAACACTTGTTTTATATATATATATATATCTGTCCATTCAAAATTAATGAAAAGGACTACTCATCTGTTGTTTAACTGCTCTGAAGGATGGACTTAAACCATTTGTGAATTTTTATGTCCTTTCCAACATAGTAGGACTACTCGACAAATTAAGAATGGTTTGGTTTTTTAATTATTCTTTCTTCTCCTGCTGCTGATAGAATGCATGTTACTTAATTAGTCTTATGGGGGATAATACAAATCATTAAAGGTGCAATTCTTCTGTAGATGAAACGTATTATTGAAATATCTCGCAGCATGTAAAGACTCTAAGTGCCTAGCTGGCCTTGAAGTGTCTCATTTGGTCGCTTCACTAAAACATTTCTCACAGGAATTCTTTGTCAGCATATTCATAATCTGTTAACTTTTTTCCGAGTCTCGCCGTTAGTAGCAGAGGTGCCCGAGTAACACCGTCAGTAGCTGTAGGGATATGAAGGGCCACTGCTGCTGCCAGGGGTAGTACCTGGCTGTGTCAGGCCCCCTACACTTCAAGGGACTTTGCGTACCACCAGCACTACAAATGCTACTATGTGAGAGCCCTTTGTCTACACTATTTGGGAGTAATGCACGTTTCCTTTTTCTCTCTCAAGAACTAGACTAACTTAATGACTGGATAGATTTACTGCTGTGCAAGCTGAACAAGTGACCCTGGTTTTATCACAGAGAACTTTAATGTGTTCCACACTAGTGTCTGCTTTGTTATTTAGAAAAAATGTAAGTTTTGGGCTGTCCTGTAAAATTCAGAATTTTATCATAAAAATCTTGGGTTGAGAGGCATTCGAGTAAGTGGTTATGTATTTAGTTCGAGTGACCGTTGTGTCAAAGGCAGTAAGCAGAGCTTTGTGAACTCTGCAAATTTTGGTTCATGGAAATGAATCTTAACAGTGCAGGGATGGAAGTTACATCTTAAGTAAATTTCAAGTTAGCCAAAACCCTATCCTATCACAAAAACCTGAGCAAACTCTTGTTTACTTCTGTGGAGAAAGAGAAGTTAGGAGAGATACTAATTTAATTCCTAATCCAAAGTTTTTTGCAAACTTTCTCAATAAAAAAATGTTCTGAAGTTATCTAAGAAAATACTTAGCCAGTGTTTTAAGTGAAGCGTTTGGAGTAAGTGCATTATATAACTCTAGTGTTGAGGCTTCTTAGCATGAAGACGAGAGCCTTAAAATGGTGAAATTGTAACAATTCTTACTTTTTAAAATAATTTAGTAATTTTGCATTCCATAACTGTGCTTTTTTGAGGAGGTTGCAAGATGTTACCAACACAAGTGGTTGTAAATATCATCCTCAACTCATACCGTCTGTGTCATCTGGTTTACAATATCCTCGTTCAATAATCACTTCATAGCTTCCTATTCTGCTTTTTTCCATGCAAAAGCTGCCTGTTACTACCTCATCAATACTGCTAGAATGTACTATAGCATTTTGGACAGGTTAACACAAAAACTTTTAATTACTTGACTCTTGCAACTTGAACTGCAGAATACTCTGATTAAATATGCAGGGAGGTGGGGTTTTTGTGTTGGTTTTTTTTTTGTTTGTTTGGGTTTTTTTCTGTTTTGTTTTTTGGGGGCTTTTTTATCCCACCACTGGAGTTTATTTCTAGGTCAGGTCTAGAGACTTGATAGAGATCTCGGTTGATACCTGCGGTCAAGTTAGTGGGAGCTGTAATTGATTTCAATTAATTTAAGTTTGTAGGCCTGTATAATAATATCTTCCTGAGTTGATGTGTCTTTGGAAGTCTCTGTTGAAGACATTCCATATATCATAAATAAAAAAATGTGAGAAGAATGTTACTGTAATTTTTTCCCTATTAGATTCCAGAAAATAATAAAACATTCTTTGGTTTTATTGGAATGTAAAAAAGAAATAATTTGCTTATCTAAGAATATATGACATTAGGTTATAAGTCTACAAGATATATGCTAAACTTCCACTAAAATCAATTTTTCAGCACTTCACAAGTTTCACACGTTGTTTTGGAAGACTAGGGTAATACCGAAGTATCATACACCAGTGGGGGACGGTCAAGATGAAATGCTGATTTTCATGGGGATTGCTGTACTGTGCATCTTGTACATGTATAAATGTTATCTATGCATTTGTTTATGTATACATGTAACATCCATTTTGCAAACTTACTGTAGTTTGCTTAATTTTTTTAAATTGAATTTGAGACTCAAATTCCATGCTTCTTAAAAACTAGTACAAGAGTTAACCAAGTCAAATACAAAGGTGTGAATGATGTCATACAATACAAGCTATGGATTGTCCTCAACTCTTTCAGAAGATTATGTACTATATTTCCTAGGAGACAGTCTTTCTAAGGCCATACATGAAATGAATTTTATACATGTTACTGTAAATGTGTTGCACATTTTAATAATACTTTTCAACAATATGTAGCACTGGGCTATTTTATATATGAAATTGGAATGTAGGCACTGTCAAAACCTTCTAACAGTTCTATTAAGTAAAAAAATCTGTCATAGCAGCAAAGAGTTAAAATATTCTGTACTACTTTCAGAATGGTATTTATTATAACTTCCTTCAAAAGAAAATAGACTTGCAGACTAATTAGATCGTCTGTTTCTTTTAACTTGTTTCATCTGGATATTGACAATTAGATCAATGCTATCTAATTTGTGTTGATTAGAAAAAAAATCTTGATCCTCATTCTCTTGTATCGTTTCATGTCCTAGGTTCCTAAACCAGTAGACTACTCTTCACAACTGTGGTGAGTCCCTGTCTAGTCTTACAAGAATCTCTTTGAAAGAAGCAGTCATAGAAAGACAACTGTGTTTATTACAATTTAATTTATATCGGTTTAACCTTTCTAGCCTTCTGAAGAAGGCGTTGTGTAATGGTTTGGGAAAGCAACACCATGCATTGCCTAAAAGCATTTCTGATATAATAAAGTGCTTAATGATTTTGACATTTTGTTTACAAGTCTGTAGCTGTGCAGCCTTATTCCCAGAGGTCTGAATCATAAGAGCTTAGTATAATATGGAGCGTGCAAGTAGATCTTACATGTTAAGTGAATAAAGAGAAGGAATAATGTTAAATACATCGTCTTGTGAATAATTTGGCATTTCCTTTTTTTAAGAAAAAAAGGACTGTAGAGATATAAAAGGACAATGTATCAAAACTGCAACCACTGCTGGTCTGGGGCTTATGTAGTGTGTGAATGCTTTACTGGAATTCAGCTCACCTCTAGAAAAGACATGGTGATTATGAGAGAACAGAATAAGCGTCGCTTGTGTTCTTTCATGGGGTTTATGCTTTGTCATTTAGACGTGAGTTCTGATTTCCTCTAGTTTGCCAAAAGCGAAATCAGAATCAGATCTAAACGAATATTGATTTATGTTTAATGTTTAAAATTGGTATTTTAAATTAAATTCTAACAGTTGCTCTATTTATAATTTTGTTAGAAGAAAGCATATCGTTGGGGTCAGTCTTTATCGTCTAAGGATTTGTAATACTTAGCTGAAAAATGACTTTAGGCTGAAACTTGCTGTAAAAAGTCATGTATTTTGTGATAAACTTCAAAATGCATGTTCCCTGGTGTGTTTCATAAAATAACTATTTTTTTATTTAAAGCTCCCATCTAATTGGTAGTGATGTATTAGTATGAAATTTTACATAGTAGTGATCTGTGGTGTTGACTGTCTGTAGACTACTTTCTAAAATGGTAAAATAAGCATCTTTTCCCTGGAAGCTACGTCACTTTCCTCTCCTCAATTAACAGTTTAACCTCTAGTTTTGCGAATAAATGTCTGCTGACAGCCTCTCATGAACTCCCACCCAAACCAGCAAGGCACAGCAAGGGCACAAATCTGCTTACGCAGTCAGGCTGCAGAATCGGCGACTTCCTTGTCTTAGCTCTCAACTCTTGGCATCAGCTCTTTCAAATTTGGACATACTAGGATGATTTTTTTTTTTCTCTTGTGGATGTTTAGTTTATCCATTACACTTTAGCCTTTAGAGGTTATGATTAATTATGAAACCAAATAAAATAGTGTGTTTGTATAAATACCAAATTTTTGTATAGGTCTTTTTTTGACCTCTTATACTACTGTTGGCTGATTCTCCACTCTGTTGAGATAAATCCCACTAGAACTCAGGGAGGTTCAAAGGTTCAGGACCACTGTTTTATTGTTTCACTTGCAACACATGATTCAGAAGAATGTTTGGTTTTATGAGCTATTCAAGCCAGTAGTCATTCAGCTAATGCTCAGGCTCGAGCACTTTCCTTAACAGGCATTGTATTCAACGTGTGCACAAGTACTTTTCTAATTAAGAATTTCCCCCACCCCCCATGCGGAGTTTTTTCACGCTTTATTCTTCGTTCAAAGATCTGGAAGTGTGGTATTCAGTTGCAACTGATATATTTTTAGGTCCCCATCATATGCAGAATATTGGGACTTTGCATTGCATATTTGATAGACCTTTTTTTGTAGCTTTGAAAAAATCATAGGCAATTTTTATTGTTCTCTGTTACAGGTTTGCAGGAGCAATGGAAAGATTGCAAGCAGAGAGTGAACTTATTAACAGAGTAAATAGCACTTACCTGGTGCGGCACAGGACCAAAGAGTCAGGAGAATATGCAATTAGTATTAAGTAAGTGGAATAAGATCTCCTACAGAAAGTTTTCATGTTCTCATTTATCCTTAGATAGTATTTGAAATAATTAAGGAAAACAAAATCTTGTTTCAATTTATATAATCATACACAGCCTTTAAGAGAGTCAGTATAGGAAAACTGAAGTTGCTGACAAAAATACCCAGGGTTTATAGTAGGAAGTTAGCAATGGTTTTGTAATGCTGGTGTAGCAAAGGGGTCTACAAAAATGATGGTCTAGTATATTGGGTAAGAGTAAGCCAGTGTTTGGACTGTGATGGCATCTGCTTCTCTGAAGTGAATAAGAATGTTTCATTGACTTCAGTGAGAACTTGTCGAAGCCCTTTGCATCTCAGACGTTTCAGTAAAATGTGGGTTCATAAATTCTGTGGATGCACATGATTGTGAGGGTCTTGCTTTCGTGTTGTTTATCAACATGGATATAAAAGTAAGAAATATATGGGAATTCCCAGTTAGAATGAGCAGTTAGTTGTGACTTTTTTTCTTGAATACAGATTACCTCTTCAGCTGTACTTTAATAAATATATTTGGTTAATTAGACTTCAACTTTGTTTTGGCACAGATATACATTTTGTCTTAAGAATTTATTCGTGTGGTGTTATTGGGGCATGCCCTCAGGTAATTATTGATTGTGTCTGATTAAAAACACATTTATATTCATAAGTTATTCATTGCCCACAGGTACAATAATGAAGTGAAACACATCAAGATTTTAACAAGAGATGGCTTTTTCCACATTGCAGAAAATAGAAAATTTAAAAATTTAATGGTAAGCATTGATTAGGTTTTTAACAATGTGCGATCTTCTATGTAGCTGTTGCTGTTAGTGAGAGCTGCTTTGGTTTGTGAAATTACAGAAGGCTGTGAGAGATTTGAATTGTGTCCATACCTGCTAATAGGATAATTTTTTTACTTGTATGGTTTATTCTCTAAGTGATGGTAGTATGTGCTTAAAACTACATATTTATATTTAGGACTGGACCGTGTCCCTTGCAGTTATGTGGAAGAGAGGAGGAATTTGAATCCCATGCATCAGCCCGCTATGGAGTTAGGCTGAATCTTGAAAAGAGAATTTGATGTCTTTGGAAATCTTTCTCTATATAGTAATGATCCCTAAAAGTAGCTAGGTGAAGGTTCCTTCCCAGCATATGTACATGTGCACTGCTGAACATAAGGATGCCTATCGATGTGTAAGTTCAGAGGGAGAAGGATATAAGGTGCCGCTGTGTCAGGGAGCCCAGAAAAACTCGGGAGAGGCTGGCCTTCCTGGTCCTGGTGCACCAGGCAAAGAAGTGCAGCTAGAGAATGGGGCTGTCGAAACTGCTCATAGCTCAGAAATCCTTGTTGCAATAATAGTCATCTGGAGTCAATACCAACTAGTCCAAATTAAAGCAACTGTGTGGCTACTTCACGCTCTGTGGCGGCAAACCACTCACTGGCAAACTATAGTAATAACACACAAAACATAGGCTCTCTGACTAACTTTGACTCCAACTATAGGCATAGTTCATCCCCAGAAATAAGAGTTTGGTGTTATAACTGCCCAGATCAGTGAGTTTTCAATGTTATGTCAGAGTCATCTTGTACTGGGAAGAAATTCCTTCTTTTGAACTTTAATTTGAAAGAATTTCTTGACAGCTCATTTTGCTCAGACAAGACTCATAAATACAAGGTGTCTGAATAAATTACCTTAGTACATTTGTAAAATTTTACTGCTTAAGTATTTTCTGATGCATTGTTAAAGGAAGCTCGTTCAATATATTATGTTTAGTGCAATCAATTGGATTAAAACTTACGCTGCAGCCTTCATGCATATCCAAGTACTCTAAAATAATAAATAAAAATGAAGGACAATGCAAAACAGGAGTAGGGAGAGAAGCTTTAAAGCTGGGAAGCATTAGAAATTAAAATAATTTAACCACTGATACTCTGTAAAGCGAGAGCATCCTACAAGTAGTAAAAAATCAAGCAGAAATCTATGCTTTGCCTGACCCTGATTGAAATAAGTGCTCATTAGAATGGGAAGAACATAAATTTCCTGATGAAGAATGCACCATGCTGTTTCTGCACCCTAATGTCTTCATTTGACACATAGAAACCAGTGAAGTGTTTAGTGTTAGGGCTGGGGACACTGGGATCTTATCATTGGTAGCACCAGAAACCATGGCGTTCCTCATATGCACGAAGGAGGTGGCTACTTGGTCTGCAAACACTACAATTGGTTCACTGGGAACTGATGAGAACACGAGTGCTCTCAGGATCCTGACCAAGCACGTGAGCCGGAGTCGCGTGCTGCCAGATACCTCCTCATGGCAATGATGCAGTTTAATGCACTGGTGCAGGTCTCAAAATAGAGCTGAATGATCAGGGAGATAAGTACAGGACACAAACTTGGATAAAAAAGAAACAAAAAGAATATGCATTGCGTCAAAGAATTGAGAGGACAAAAGAGATTTCTAGTGTAAAGGCCTCATCGCTACCAATTTAGCCTTGCTGAATTCAATTAGGAAAAAGTCATTTCATAACGCAGTTTTAGGGTATTATGAAGTCTGCCCTTGAGAGTTGAATAGACAAGTGATAGTGTAAGTACTGTTTGCATATGCTGTGGAACAACTGCTTTGTTCTGGGTAGATGCAAGAGAAAAAGTAACAGTCTGGAAGAAGAGAGGAACAAAAGTAGTCTGAGTAGAACTGGGAACAGGTGAGAGACAAAGCCAGCAGCCATGGAAACCTAAAGTAGTGATCTGCAGCGACACAGTTTCTGTACTACTTTGAAGGTAACAAAAGTAGAACAAACTCTTGTACATCGTTTTCACAGTACATTTGAAAAACTTTCACACGAGTAATTAAAACGTGCTGAGTGTGTAAAGCAGGCCGAGGTGCAGCGAAAGGTCGGCTCTGCTGCTGATGCGAATCATGGTACTGTGACAGACTCCTGAGGAGCCCCATCCACGCTGGCAGGGGCTACTTACCCTACTTACCTCTTACCTGTTTGTAAGCTTGCTACTGTGATTTGTGCAATGAGTGTTTTAGAGGCCAGTTGTTTGTCGACTGTTTTCATGGAAGAATGGTATTAAAAACTAAGCTTTTAAAAGCAACTGAATCTTTGTGACCCAGGGTAAATTTTTTTTCCTCAGTTTGGAACCATTTTACTTATTTTGACAACAAATAAAATCTGTCCAGTGAAACTTCTTACTGTCTTTACCAAACAGCATAATTCTTACAGACTTATGTGGTGCAAAAGGTAAAAAAAGTTTCATACTAATTATTTTTGCGTTTATCCAGAAATCCTACTTTGAATGGTCCGTACTTACAAATCTCTGTTGCCTTGGTAATTTGAATGTCTGGGTACTCGGTGGTGATATGTGACAGAAAATTTGGTTGCTGACATCGTAGCTTGCGTGCTGTGCTGATACCAGACAACAAAGCCCAAACAGTTCTTATTCTCTCTGGCCTTTCTGCTTACTTGGAGTGCCTGGCAGGTCTGTGATTATGAACTGTTAAAAGCAGGTGTAGTTTTTACTTAGCTTTGGACTCTGCTTTAGAAGCAGTTTCAGAGGCATGCAACGGCTCACAGCGTGGGGAGTGAAGTGCTCCAGAGTTCAGTTCAGAAGATAATCTTCGGACTATTATCAAGAACTTACGGTTTATGCACTAGATCTTGGACTAAATAATTTAAGAGTCATTTTGTTTGGCTGGAATTAATTTATCACTGATATAGGCTGTTGTAGGCTAATAATTGTGTTAAATTTTTTTTAACTAGAAGGAAATGATTCAACACAGTACTATTTCCTTATTTTGACCTAAGCTTGGCTTGGTCAACTTTGATTTTGGAAATCTAAATGTAAGTAAGTAGAATGGAATGACTGAGTTACTGGTAGGAGTGAAGGGTTTACAGTAAATACATTGCTTTGTGCTTGCATTTCTGAAGAGTGAAATCCCACACTTTGAAGTATCATTAATCAAATGAAATACGTTTGCTTTGAATTGTCTGGGCACTTTTAATCTTATTGTAGGCTCCGTGTACAAACTGGGTGATACTGACATTAATAGGGCTGATTCAAATCTAAGAGACAATGGCAGGGGTTGAAGATCGCAAAGGAATAACATGAGCTGTCAGGATTTTGCTGGGTGTTGCCTTCTTTAGAATAGAAACTAAAGTAACTTAACTCCTTGGCTACATAAACTATTTGAGCCAGTTTTTTATATTTTCATATATGTGTGTGTGCATATATATAAAATTTCTGCGCATATATAAAATTTGTGTGTGTGTGTGCATGTTTATGTTTGTGTATATACACACACAGAGAGACAAATTTTTGGATTGGGCTGAAGGAGAATATGAAATGCTAGATTTTTCAGTCAGTGTGCACTATCTGGAAAAAAACAAACCCCAAACAAAAAAAATAACCCACACAAATTTTAATGGCAGAGCCTTGAAAGTTTTACATGGTCTGTGTATCTGCTCATTAAGTTGCTGTTGACTTACATGCTTATATGTAAGCCTTATGCTTTATTTTGGATCTGTGTACTTACAAATGCATTTGTGGATAAACATCACTTATCATTGCAAAAGAAATTTGAGAAAACAAAGACAGTTACCATTATATACTTAACAAGCAGCTGACCTTGCCTTCTGCCTGACTTCAGAAAAGCAAATACATGTTCAGCCTGGCTCAAAGGAGCAATTAAGTGTTGACTCTGACAATAAGGTTTTACTTAAAAAAAAAAACCCAAAAACCAAACCCAGCAAAAACCAAAAACCAGTTAAGTGGCAGTGTAAAAGCAGCCAATATTTAGGGTACTTGATTTTTTTAAAATAAACATGTACTGTGGGATGTTGTATTATAAAATAAGGTTTACTTGTATGATAAAACTGTCACTGACTGTACACCAGAATGCTGAAAAGGATGTGATTTCAATTTCCAATGACATAGTATTTTTCCTTTCTGAAAGGAACTCGTAGAATACTATAAGCACCACTCTCTCAAAGAAGGCTTTCGAAGTTTGGATACTACTCTTCAATTTCCATACAAAGAATCTGAAAACTCAGTGGGACAAAGGAGTAACAGAACAGGTGGCAACTGTGAGTATTATAGATTTTTGTATATTATTTTCTGTCATATAAATATTAAAAGGACAAGGTACTTTGAACATCTTCATTTTCCATTTTTGACATATAACCAATTAATATGGTAATGCTTTTAGTTAGGATTTTTTGAAGCTAAGCAGATTCAGATCTGCCAGGAGGTATATAAACATGTCTAGCAAGTTTCTCTTCCTGCCAAACTTAAAATCTCCCTGATATTCAGAAATTTATTAGGCATCGCTGGTGAGAGATTAAACTGCATCCTGCCTAGTTTTTTCAGACATTTGCATACACGCAGATACAAGTGTTAATATTATCTGTGACAATTTCTAATCCTTAAAAAGGGATTTAAATAAATCAGTTTTGTCGTGTAGCCATGTGAAGTAGCATCTCAGTAATACCACATAAATTTCTCAAAAAACCCATTAGGTTTACTGTATCATAATTATTTTTATGCCTGCCTTAAATGTTAACCTTAAATATTTATTACAGGCCTCTAAGCTGCTGAAAGTTAATGAACTACTGTACAATGTAAATAGCAGTTAAAAAGTTTTGAAGTTTAGAAATAAACCGAGAAGATTTACAATGCATGTGGTATCCTTTATTTAACCTACTGCAACTTAAGTGGAAGTTAGCATGATTTTTAGGATGCGTACAAGTTCAATGTTAATGATAAAAACTACCACATGGCTGGCCTCTGGAAAGTATATAATGTTTCTGTCAAAGAGTGAATATTAGATTTGCAGTTCTGCAGACAATGGCTGTATCTTTGTACTGCAACAGATAATAAGAGGGAAATAGAAATTGATGGGGATTTTAACAATATGAAGACTACTGTGAAAGTCCATAGGGTCCAGTCTAGTCTTTGTGGTGATGAAGCTGGCTGTGTTACTTTCATTTGCTGTGTTTGTGATCTTTTGTTTATTTGCTTGCCTCTGTTCCATAACATTTCTAGAACTTTGGAGACTTTCTTCCTCTCCTAATTAAAGTGAAGATAATTTAGGACAGATGATTGTAAGAAACCAGCGTCTCTCTGTGCATTTCATTTACTCTGTCTCTATCTCCCAATTCCTCTTTATTCCTTCCATTTCCATTTTCTTGCACTGCTTCCCAGGACTTCTGTCAGTTGTCTCTCTGCTATGCTGTATCTCAATACATCTCCGTTCTTGGTGAATTTATCTGTCCCGTCCTTTCTTCTCCCTTTAGCTTGCGATCTCCCTTTGCTTCTCTCTTCCTCTTGTCATCTCTCGTGCTTTCCTCATCGTTTGCCTCCTCCAGCATTGAGACTTTAATTGTTGAGAGGATACGCCCTGCTTAATTCACCTTGAATTTGTTTTGGTTATTATTGACTGTGAGCAGAACCAATTTGTTTTCTTTCCTTTCTTAGGCCGGTTAGAATGTATCTATACTGTCCACCAACTTATTAGTCTGCAAGAGCGTTAGCTCAATCATTTCATGCTTTACAAGATCCAAGACTTATGGTACATCCTCATTACCTTCAGTCCAGATAAAAAAGAAAACATGTCCTTTAACAGGATCTTTATGGAAGAGCAAGAGGAATGAGTGTGGGATGCTCTCATTCTCAAGGGGATGAGAAAGTGCGTCTCTGCTACAGTAAATATCAGCCATTTAACATTACAAACTATGCTGGTGGGAACTGGCAGGTTTTCTCTTAGGCCAAACTGATTGAAAACCCCTCTCAATTCTCAGACTCCTCATATAAAATCTAATAGATTTCCACAACTCTGCTAGCCTACCTAGACTGACTCTGGATGACACTGTCATTTAATGGATTTGACAGTTTTCTTTTAAAGTGATAGCATGTCCCCATGAGTGTGGGGTTTCTTGTGGGGGTTTTTTGTGTTGGTTGTTTTTTTTAAGCAAAATTTCCATGATTCACAGCCCGTCTGAACGCTGCTCAGTTTTAAAGCTATCCTGTTAGTCTTTACCAAGTTGATGTTAGAATAACTATATATCTCGGCTGTGTGAACCCTGCTGGGCTGAATTTGGAAAGAAGTTGGTAAACTTTGGGCTGCAGGTTTGTTTAGTGGAGGAAGCAAATAAGTTCACATCACAGCCCTCAGTGAGAACTGCCACACAGCTGTTTTTTTGAGCTCTTCCCACTTAATCTGAGTGCAAGAAAAACAGTTGTTGAAAGGAAGCCAGATGAGTCAGCTGAAGAGAGGGGCACTTTCCTGTTCTTTTTCAGTTGTGCAACTGCTCAGTGTCACATTCACCGTATTTTAACAAGCACGGGCCTGAAGCTAGTGAATGCAATGGACTTCTGCAGTTTGAAGCTGATTTGAAGGAGGTTTTGGGTTTCAACTCAGTATTTCGCACTATACTATTCATACGCCTGTGTCTGGATTTTTTAATGAGTCCATCTTTTGGAAAGGCATCAGCTGCTTCTTCAAAAGAGCTGGTCTTTAGCATATATAATTGACAGAATGAGTGGGAAGAGTATTTCTAAAAAAACGTGAGTAGAACCACTGTAGACTTTGACATCATTTTCTGCTGCCAAAGTCTTTGAGCTGCTGTGAAATTGAATGGCAATTCCAAATTAACTTCACTTTCTAAACAATGTGAGAAAGGATTATATTCATTTTTTGTAATTGTCATGTTTTCATTTACCCATTGAAGGAAAGAAAAATCAAGTGGCATTTCAGTTTACTTGTAATTTCGGATATGAATCATGATAAATTACCTTGTAACTTCTTAAATTTTCAGGGAATTTGATTCTCCCTTCAGCATCTACTAGATTTTTGGAACAAAAAGATCTTCATTTTATGGGGATAGTTAATTTATCTTCCCACGTTAATTAGAACTTTGCTTTTTAGTCTCCTGGTCTTGCAGAGGTCGCCCACTCTGTTCTGATACTTATTGTACACTTTTAATGTGGTTGTAAAAGCTGTCAGACACTTACTTTTCTCAATATAGAAATTCAAGTTAATGAGGAAGATTTTTTGGGAAATGGTACATTCTTTCTTCTTAATTTTTCAGTCCTAGGTTTTTCTAGACATAGTATGATCAAATTTTGTTTTGCTACACAGAAAAATACTAATTCTTACATTAGATTAGAGGGGTGATCGACCCATTTAATGAAATAAAGGCAAAAATGGAAGAAAAGTTGACATTCTTCTACAGAATAGTTTTTGGCACTTTATTCCAGTCTGCTGATGCAGAGCACAATCATATTGAGAAATCTGAGTCTTTCTGAAATTTAGACTTTAATGTAACCTAAATCACGAAGGCAAATACTACTTGAGTGACTGTTTTTCATCACCTGTAGACTAGGAGTAGGTGCATTAACTAGTTATATCACATCATTCTACTGCTTAATGCATTAACTGTGTAAAAGTATCTGTTAATAAAGTAAAATAAAACAAGTGTCACCCAACCCTTAAGGAAACAAAAGAACCCAGCCTTTCTCCTTAAAAGCCAACACCAAAACCCTTATCAGTGACGTTTAAAAATAGGCTAGTTTCCTGTAGAAATCTAGTAGGATTTCCTTGCCCACATAGGTTTAGTTGTCCGGAATTTCATATGTAAAACCAAACCTCCAGTTGTATCGGACAGAAAAATTCTCAAAAAATTAAGACAATGTATGGACAGGAAAGGCCCAGCCACCCCCTATATAGCACCTAACCTGTCTTTATTCCTGCACGCTACTTTTGCACGCTATCCTTGTACTTCTGTAGAAGTAAAGTCAGTTATTTGTCTCTAAGGATGGGCACACCATTTCAGTCAAGTTGCCCTTTCGGTTTGTGTAACATATTCTCACACAGAGCTGTCACCTGGGGTTACTAGCTCCAGTATAAAGGAGTTCCTCAGGTAACCTCATGCATTCTCAGATAATCTGTTTAGTACTAGAGGTGGAGAAAGGATCATTACTGTGAAGGATCAGAAGGGAGTTTCTAGTGCGCAAGAGGCCCTGGAGTATGTTTCTTTTGTATTACTTTGAGATACTAACCTAAACTGCTGTTGGTTTATGTTGTGGGTTTTTTTTAACAAATAACCCATAGCTTATGAACGTTAAAATACAGTATCCGTCCTGCTTATTTTATTTATGCTGGTAGTTTCATTGTCACAAACGTATCTATACTCATGCAGGTAAGATGCACAAAACTGTATCGTTACCTCCACCATGGATTCTTTGTTAATTCCTTGCATAAAATAGTTCTAGTCGTCATTCCTGCAAATAACCATTTTGAAGCAAAATGATTTTGTTTCACGTGTAGTCACAAGAATAAATTCAGGGAAGCAGCTGTATGTGACCAATATAACCCTGCTACATTTTTAAGGAACACTCTTGGTTACTAATTATAGATATTATTAGGCATAATTTAGAGGCTACATTATCATTTATCCAGTTGAGGATGGACTTCCCTTTCCAAATCACAGCTGGGAGGAAAGATCCCGAGTTTATTAGATTTTGTACGCTATGTATCTTCATTGCCTCTCCAGAAGAGGGACAAAATGTGAGAATGTGTCAAGAAACTGTAGTTCCATTTGAAGCGATTTTAATTCATTTCATCTAATTTTGTATTTAAAAACATGTTGACCCTAGGTTCGTTGGCAACAGAGCAAGTGCACCTCCAGCCTTTCACCTGCAGAAGCTGTTACAGGACTAGGATGATGTGCTGGTGCTGCCTAAGCCAAACTTACACTTTTTTTGCTTGCTCAAGGGTTTTCTCTCAAGTCAGGGAAAACCACAAAGGCAAGCAATACTGTTTGGGCCTTAGAGGATGTAGTTTAGCTGTGGAATTCCTATTGATGTTAATGATTATCAGGGCAAAATGCATACTTTTTCCCATGCATATTATGAGGCCCCAGTTCAACTGGTACTTAGACTGTATTCCTAATTAAGGGTGTGTGACTAGTCTTCCTGGGCTCAAGAGGAATTTTTATGTATGCATGAGTTCCTGCTTTTGTACTGTTAAGAAGTGGGGCACACAAAATTAAAGAAGAAAAAAAATTCTGTTAAATCTGAAAATATT